AGGGGGAGTTCACGCTGCACGGCCGGGCTATCCTGGAGATGGAGCAGTACATCCGGGAGACGTTTCCAGATTCCGTGAAGAGTTGCAACATCTGCCACAGCCTCCTCATCCAGGTGAGGCTCTTCCCCTTCCACTTCCTCCCTGTCCTCCTCCCCTTCCTCCTCCCCTTCCTCCTCCCCTTCCTCTTTCTCCCTCTCGTTTCCTCTTCTCTCCCCCATCCTTCCCACTTCCCCCCTCATCATTCCCCTCCCCCCACACCTTGTCCTTCCCCTCTTCCCCCTCCTCCTTCACCTCCTCCACCTCCTCCACCTCCTTCTTCAATTCCTCCCTCTTGTGCCTCCCCTCCTCTTCCCTCTCTCACTCCTGGGGTCCTGGCTGCAGCGCCACTGTGTCAGTTGTTGGGGATGAGCCCCATGGTCACTGGCTTGTCCTGTTTCAGGGTCAAAGCTGTGAAACTTGTGGCGTCCGGCTACACTTGCCGTGTGTGGCCAAGTACTTCCAGTCGAACCCTGAGCCACGCTGCCCCAACTGTAACGATTACTGGCCCCACGAGATTCCAGGTGTGTGGGCCCCAATGTGCTTGGGGGAGGGGCTGGGCTGGGGGGGGAGTGGAGACCCTGTGGTCCTGCTGCCGAGTGTGAAGAAGCCTGGGGAGACATGCACACACGGGCCTGCCTGGTGGCCTGAATCCCATGTCTGCAGCGGCTGCTGGCTGCAGCAGGGAAAGGCTGAGTGGCCCTGTTCCAGAAGGCTCTAGAAGGTTCTAGAACCCAGCAGAGACCCGAGAACCAGAAGCAGCCGGTCTCACCAAGGCTGTCCTTCCCTCAGCCTGTTCCTCCATGAAGGGGGGCTGAAGCTGGCCAAGACAGGAGGGTTAGTGGAGGAGGATGGTGCAGCGCCCTTGGCACAGGGAACAGCGGTGGGGCCAGTGGCCGTGCAGCCGGTCCTGTGCTCACTGGGTCTCCCCACCTTCTCTGCACACAGAAGTCTTCGACCCTGAGAAGGAGCGCGAGAGCAGCATCTCCAGGCCAGCCAAGAGGCCCGTGAGGTCCAGACAGCACTAGCAACGGCCTTGCCGCCCACAGGGCTTGGCCACTGCAGCCCGGGTACCTCACGCAAATCCCTCCCCTTGTTCTCTGTCCGCTCTCGCTGGGTTTGGAGTAAAATTGTCGCAGGAGCTGCCACTGCCTTGGACTGTGGTCACGAGTTGGGGGGCAGGAGTTCTGGTCCTGGTCCTTCCTGTCCTGGAGATGCTATTATTGAAGTGCTGGTGTGGCCCCAGCAGGTGCAGTGGGCATGGCTGCTCCTGACCACGGTGCACAGGGCAGAGCCACCCCTCCTGCCAGCAGCCCACTGTCCCTCTCCCACCAGTGGTGGTGGAACAGTGGGCATGGCCTACAGACCCAGGCACACTCAGTTGTCCCATCAGCACTGGGTTGCCCTTAGCCTTCCCAGCTCCCTATAGTCTAGACCCCACTGGGGTTGTGCCGGCCTCTCCTCCCTGGCCCCCTTGAGCCCCTCTTGGTGCCTGGAAACCCTGTCCCTCCAGCTGGAAACCCAGATGCTACCTCCACTTAGCTCTCCTGCATGTACTGTCAACCATCTCCTGCCAGGCCCCATAGCTGCTGCCCCAGGCTGGGTGGGGCCAGCCCTCCCCAACACCTGCCACAGCTGCTCCCAGGGGCCAGCTTCGCCCCGTCCCCACCTTTCCTCCTACACCAGTGCACTCTCTTATTTGAAAGGCAGAGGGCAGAAGCTCCCAGATCATCAGTCTGCTGGTTCGCTCCCCAGATGGCACCATCTGGCTGAGCCAGACCACAGCCAGGCTCCCAGAACACCGTCCGGGTCTCCCCACATGGCGGGCAGGAACTCAGTCCTTCAGCCACCGCCTGCTGCCTCCAGGGTGTGTGCAGAGCCAGGACTTGAACAGATCCTTCCACTGGGACGCGGGTCATCTGTGATGATTGCAGCCCTGTCTCCAGCATGACCTTCAGCTCCCACCATGCAGGTTGGTGGTCCACGCTGCGCTGGAGACCCCCAGTGACTGCCCTGCCTTTGTGGTTGGGTCTGGACGGCAGGAGGCCCCACAGCGTATTCAGCCACGCAGCTTTTCTTTCATCTGTTTTCATCTCAGAGCCTTGCATGCAGGCTCCGCCCCCCCCCCGCACCCCCCCGTCTCCTGCCTTCCTTGCTCCCCACTGCTGCTGCTGCAGGAGGCTCCCGTGCCCTCATGCCCACTGCCCCATGGGCAAGGCAGCAGATACAGGCCCACTGCTTGGGCCCCACCTGGCCAACTCGGGGGAGGGAGCGTGGCTAGGAGAGTCGGGCACACCACAGGGGCCTTCCCTAGCTGGCCTAGCCAGAAGGGCACATATTGGAAATGGAACCGGTCCAGGACAGACAGGCCTGGGACTGTGGCTCTGGACCAGCAGGAAATCAACTCCGTCTCCCGGCTTGTGTTCCCAGCACGCCCTGGACGTGCTGTTGTGGGCACCGCCCTGGTGTGCAGACCCTCCCTGAACACCCGCGGGGGACAGTCAAGTCTGCAAAGCACTCTCAAGGGAAGAAGGGGCGTGGAGGCTGGCAGTCCACACTGGACAAAAGGCATGTTCCACACTTCCAGCAAGCCTTAGGGGGTGCGTGCCTTGCCACAGGGGACTCTGGCCCCACCCCCAGCAGTTGGCCCAGTGCTTCCTGGCATCCTTCTGGCAGACAGGCCTCAGGCCTGGGCCTCCCTAGTGCCTGCCCCGCTGTTACGTCCAGACCCTGCCACCCCCGTGCCTCCGCCTCCCGGTTACCCCTGAGCTCTGTGCTGCAGCCCACTGGCCCCTGGGCTGTTGAACCTGCTGCAGGGAGCTCAGCCCATCAGTCTCATGGCCACACGTGGATTCCGGGTCCTTCACGCTTCTTCCTCCGCAATGCCTGTTACTTTGTCCAGTGGTTTCTGTGCCACCTCTTGGCTCCCTGATATCATCTTGGTGTTAATCCCAGCTGTCAAACTTCCTCAGTACTCGGGGGTGTCCACTTGATGTCACTTTACAAACCCTAATGTAAAGAATGTTCCAAGGGCACTGCTTCAGTGGTTTTGATAGTTCTGAGATGCTGTTGGTTTCGCTGCTCCAAGCTTGAGAAAGTCCTCCCGAGGTCCATTGGCTGACAGAGTCCATCCTAGTGCATCCACTCACCCAGGAGAGCTGTCTAACCTGTTCTGCTCTCTGTCTTCTTCCATGGCACTCAGCATCCTGTGCAGGCCCAAACAAGCTAGCCATCATGTCCCCCATATGTACCTGGGCTTGCTGTCCATTGCACAGGCATCAGCCATCAAGGAGGCCCAGGCACCAAAAATGCATTCCAAGGCCAGATCACAAACCCTGTGATTCTTCCTGTGGCTGGAGTTGACCCAGTGCACACATATGCCAGCACATGCTGCCACTTCATCCAGCCTGCCCCCCACCAGCCCTGGCTCTCAGGCACCAGTGGGAGCACCAGCCCAGCAGGACTGCCCAGTTACCTTACTGAGCCAGCTCTTAGTTCTGGATCTTGGCATTTTCCAAGGAGTACTGCGATCTAGTGATGACTTGCACTCTGTCCTGACACCTGCCAGCAGATGCTGAGGCAAAGCCCAGCCAACAGGCACCTACCCTGGCCCTTGCAGGTGTCAGCAGATGCAGTGGCCTGGCCTGGCTCTCTCCTGAACCCAGGTCACAGGCAGGCCAATAGCTGTTGCAGCCCTGTCTGCCCACAGTCCCAGCACTCACTCACCAGTGGGAAGAGTAAGGCCTGGCTTTAGACAGGGAGACCAGCAGAGGCTAGGTGGGCTGCTCTGCCCACTCCCTGCCATGGGAGGCCCTCTGGGCGCTGCCTCTGCCTCTGGACCCTGTCTTCCCTGCTTCAGGACACCCTGCCCGCAGCACCGAGGACCCCTCACCCAAGTCCAGGGCTCCCAGTCCTGGGCTGTGTCCTGCCCTCCTTTCCCTGTACCTCCTGCGCTGCCCAGCCACAGCAGCCAACCAGGAAATTGCCCTAGCAAATGATTTCTTAAATACATTTTTTTCTGATTACTCATGCTGTTGGGCAAAATTTCAAATGGTAGAGAAAGGAATACTAAGAAAAGCAGCCACCGTCTTTAAAGTTTATTCCTTTGAAAAGCAGAGTTAAGGCAGAGAATGTTCCATCCAGTGCTTCAACCCCTAAATGGCCACAGTGGCTGAGACTGGGCAGGGCTCAAGCCAGCAGCCAGGAGTCTCATCTTGGGTTCCCAGGGAGCTGGATCTGAAACGGGGCAGCTGGGACTGGAAGCAGTGCCCAGACAGGATGCTGGTGCAGCAGGCAGTGGCTCTGCCCAGTAAGCCAGGGTGCCACCTGCACATGCCCGCAGGGGTCCTGGCGACCTTCAGGGTTTGATGTCAGAGCACAGTGCACTGTGCTGAGCGGCTATTCCACACGGACACGGTTAGGACACGTCCCCACCCCGCCACACTGGCCGTCCCTGTCTTGAGCAGGGCTGGTACCAGAGGGTGCCCGACCATCGCCCAGGTTCTGGCTTCTCGTTCCGTGTCTGCCCAGCCACACTCCCAGCCCACCAGGAGGCCCCTCAGTGTAGCTCAGTGGGCATGCTCGGTGTACGTTACAGATCTCGGAGCACTGGTGAGCTGCAACTCCTTTAGCTTTGTTAGCTTATGTGTATATACATATATTTTAAATAAATTTAGAAATTCTGTCCTGTGGGGAAGGCACATTTTTTATCTACTGGGTCAGTCCACTCGTGTCCAGGATCTCAGTCTGGGCCTCCCACCTGGGTGACGGGGACCCAAGTCCTCGGGCCACCATCACCTGCTGCCTCCCAGAAGCCTCCCACCCAGACCCTCAGGTGGGTGGGAACTTCACCACTGCATCACTTGCTCCCGTTTTTGGGTGGGTCTGTGCCTCTTTGTGGTCCATGACGTGTGATAAACGGAGTCGTCATTCAGACACAACCACAGGACCGGCCACCCAGAGTGAGGATGTTTTAATGGTGAAACACGGAGGAAAGCTCCTTTTACAGGACACCCGAGGGCGGGACCCCTCCCGGGAGGTGGCGCTCTGAGCTCCTGACCAGGCCAGTGACCTTCCCGGTGACCAGGGCCACCCCCGCCTTCCCACAATCGGGAGGTGTGTGTCAGAGAGGCTAGGACACGCTCTGCTGCAGCCCCGAGACCTCCCAGGAGGGCAGGACCAGCCCTGGCTTGCCAGCCCCGCGCTGTGAAGCCCCTTCTCATGTGATTCCCAGACAACGGAGGGGCGTGATGTCTCCTGGGTACACCTGCCTTGCCCCGCCCAGTTCTGCTAGGTGCCTGTCCAGTGCCCAGGTCGGAACCCTAGGGCAGCCGGTGGGCATGGGCGACGGGGCCTCATTCCCTGAGTGAGCCCACTGGGACGGCTTTCCCCGGGCTACGTCCACCAGAAGCTGACGGAGAAGCTGAGGTCCAGCGCGCGCACGTAGTGCCAGTGTCTCACGGGGATGAACAGCATGTCGCCCGGCTCCAAGACGCAGGCCAGGGACTGGGCCTCGGCAAACCTGGGGAACTTCTCCAGGTCCGGGTGCTCCACGTCCACCTGCCGGAAACAAGGGGACGCTTGGCTGGTGGCTGGGGACAGAGGGGTGGCGGGGCATGGGCTGGGGAGGTCCTCGAGGGCCCACCTGGCTGGTGTTGTGTAGAAGGTGCGTCTCGTGGGGGTACAGGGCTTCCGACTCCTGTGGGGGGTACAGCTGGATGTACTTCCTGCCCAGCACCTGGGAGCAAAGCAGCCGTGTCAGCCGCATGCCCTGCCGCCTCCCCATGCCTTCCCCACACCCGGCCTCCCTCCCACGGCGCACATGCGCACACGCCTAGCGCTGGACAGCAGCCTAGCCACACTCACTGCAGACCCCGCGGGGACCATGCCCAGGGCTGGCCAGGATGCAGTGTGGACGAAGCCCTGGATCCTGAGGACACCTAGGCATGGAGGGCCACGCCCCAGGGCCTGGTACTGTTGTCTCTGATTTTTTTGCTGTCCGCCTGCCTGCCTCCTGGTGAGGAGCCTGGAGCCAGGGCAGCACCCGGAGTGGGGAAGGCTCCCACCTGCACAAGGAAGTTCTGCTGTGGATCCTGGTGCAGCGGCGAGACGGTGCCCTGCGGCCCAAACCAGGCGTTGATGGTGATCTCCTCCTCCTCCCCTCGGCCCAGGCAGCAGTAGTCGGGGATGCCAATGTCCTGCTTTAGCTCCGGGATCTGCGGACCATGGCAAGGGGCGAGGAGCAAGCTGGGGCAGGGCAGCCCAGGGCCGGGGAGCAGGCTGAGGCACGGCAGCCCCGGATCCCTGCCCAACCCACACACAGCAACAAGGAGGAGGCTGGGGGTCAGGGGGACACACCAGCTGGAGGGTCCCTGCCCACCCCCACACAGGGCTGGGGAGCAGGCTGGGGGCCCAGGGTCACCTCCCGGCAGGCAGACGCAGTGGGGGTGTAAATTAAGGAACCTGCATGTTTAGCACTGTTTAAAATCCTGCTGTGACTACTGCAGGAGAGTTCTAATTTTATTTTCCTGTTTGTTTCCATCTTATATGTGTTCGTATTTTTGCCCTGAAAAAATCTGCTACTAGTGCCTTAAACTTAAAAATAAGCCAGTGCCTGCCACCTTTTCTTTGAAAGCTGAGTGTTTTCAAAGAGTGAGATGGAAGAAAAAATGGAAGAAAAAATAGGATTGGATGTGTTTCAGCTCTCTGGCTTTGGACTGGCTCAGCTCCGGCTGCTGTGGCCACTTGGGGAGTGTCTTTCCTCTACGTAGATCTGACTTCCCAATAAGAATAAATAAATCTTAAAAAAAAAAAAAAGGACTGATTGATTTCAAAGGTAGAGAGGTAGAGAAAGAGACAGACATCTTCCAGTCGCTGGGCTGGAGGAGGCAGAGGCCAAGGGCCGGCAGTCTCCACCTGGGCTCCCCTGCTGCCCTCCTAGACCTGCCGCCAGGGAGCGGGCTCAGACCCACCTGGTCAAACAGCTGGTGCTGAGCAAGGTAGCCGACGTCCTTGGCCTGGTGTTGGGAGGAAAAACTTAAGTTTAGACAGAGGCTGTGTCCCTGTCCCGCCTTTCCGTGCCCCTTGGTGCCAGCTGCACTCCATCCGCCCTGGGCCCTGCATAGCAGGATCAGAGGGGCCTTCAGCTCACGGGCAGGCTTCTGTTTCCTCTCAGTACGAGCTGAAGCATCGGGGTGCATCAGTCTGACGTTCGTGTTTGTCAAGCTGTGATATGCCATGATTCTCCCTCCAGAGCGACAGGTGCACATCTGATTTACTGAATCCCACCCTGGGGTAAGGGGTGGGGGGGACACTGGGCCCTTCTGTCCCAGGGTTTCAGTCCCCACCTCCCACATGCTGCTGTTCGCCCGGAAGCAGACACCCGAGTCATGGGCTGTGGACAGCTTCCGCCAGGCGATCCTCGCCGAGTGACCTCCCTGCGGGGCTGCTCATTTCCCTCCCTTTCTGCCTGCCTTGGGGAACTGGGGTTCCATGACATGTTTTTTGCCAGCAAGACGTAGGCCAGTGTTGTGCATACCAAGCACCCCAGTGAGCGAGGGATTCTAGGAAGGTAACTGAGTGCCATCGTAGGGTCAGATGGGGGTATAGTCAGCCCACCTGTAGCCAGGCCACAGCTCTAGGATCCGAAGGCGTCACCTTACACACCTCTTCTGGGTCCCCCATGCCACGCGCTGCACACAGCAGTTCTGATACGGTTCTGATACAGTCTGCCCATTGGGAGTCAGCCTGCTATGGATGCCATGAGCCAGGTCCAGCTCCCAGGGTCTGAGATCCCCAAGGAAGCCCTGGGAGGGTGGCACCAGCAGTGCCAAGTCACTGTGCCAAGCCCGGGGGTGGGGGACCAGGCTGATCACCAGCCATGGCCAAGGGCAGCCGAGGACACGCCTGGGTCCTCCCACTTCTCCGTGCCGCCTGCTCCCAGGCCCTCTTCAAGCTCTGGAGGCTGCCCCGTGACTGCTTCCCAGCAGGACTCCCACCCTGGCTGGCTGGCTGGTGCTACGTGGGCCTCAGACAAGGGAGTGGCCCACCACCAAGGCTCTGAAAGGGGGCGATGGACATGAGCCTGGCTGGTTGCCTCGGGAGGGGAGGTGCCCGGTTCTCCAAATGACAGTCCCTTCCTGCACATCCATGGGTAGTGTTTTGCATATTAACCAGAAAAGGTTAACAGCCCTGCCAGCCACCTGTGCACAGCGGGATGACTATGGGAACACCATGTTCCCCACAGGGGGCCGGACACATGGCTGTGGGCAGTGGGGTTCCATTGTCATGAAATGTGCAGAACTGGGCAGCCCACGGGAGCCAAGTCGGCCTGGGGCCTACTAGGGTGTGGGCAGGGATGGCCAATGACCGAGGGCACAGTGACCCCGGTCTGGATTAGTGAGGGATGACTGTCTAACCTTACCTCGCACCCAAGCCCCTGCATTAAGCAAATAAGTAAGGTCCTGAACCGAGCCCTCCCCATGGGAGAGCCCAAAAGTTCAAAATGGCGTCAGTTTTGTCAGGCCCTCAAAGTCTACACGAGTGTCAGGGCACGCAGGAAAACCAGTGTTCAGTTAGGGATGCAGAAGAGGAACCAGAATATTAGAAAGACATTTGCCGTCTATGTAAAAACCTGGTCAACTGCAAAACTGGTTTCTGTAAACGGCGTCTGCTTGCTTGCTTGCGCTCCTTGCTGCCAAGGAGCCTGCTCTTAGTCCTTCAAGTGCATGAAGCTTAGACAAACTGGCCTCCAAGAAATGTTACCAGGTCGATCAGAGGCCACCCCAGACAGCAAGATGTTAAAGTTCAGAGCCATCATTTGCCAGCCAGGCCAACCTCCAGTAAAACTTGGAGAATCTGCCACGCTGGTGGCAGAGTCACAGGCCTTGTGGAAATGAGAGAGATTACATAATCAGCAGTCTCACTGTCCCTAATGGTGCCTGGCAGCTGGGTTGCAGGTGGTCGGCCTTCCCCTTGTCCTCAGATGAGCACTCAGCGGTTTCCCCTCACAGCCCAGGCCCAAACCCAGTCAGCTGGCCAGTTCAGAACTTGGTGGTTCCCACACATCTGTTAGGACTCAAAGGCTAACCCTGGAAGGAAAGAGTGTTCAATCTGGGGAAGATGGGAAGAATTGCTGACAATTCCCCACTCATCACCCTGCACCACTGTTAGCCTAGTTCACTGTGCTTGCGCCCGTGTTTAACTTGGTTGGATGGTTTCCATCCCTGACAGCCGCCACTCAGGGCTACTCCCCTCTTCTGCTCACAGTGGTCCAGGGCAGTCCACTGGCCAGTGAACAAAGAGTCCTCAGCTTCTAAGAGTCTGCCCCCAGCTCATCTGGGGATAGAATCAGTTAATCTGCAGCACCATCCTGTCTGCGGGGCAGCCCGCCTGCCAGCCCCCTCCCACTGTCGCCCTCTACCCAATGTGCTATGTTCTCTCAGGGGAGGGAGGGCCACGTGCAAGGGGCCCACACAACTTGTACCTTATTCACAATGTGCTTGCTGATGAAGTCGTTGACTGTCATGAGCCTTTGGGACCACTCCTCATCTGTGTACCTGGATCCCACCTCCACAGGGACTGTGCGGCAGCCGGCAACCTCCTGGATGTACTCCAAGCTGTGGGGAGCACCGCGGGCTCATTGTGGGTGGGGGGTGCCTTCTGCCTTTGGTGTGGGGGGCGGTAGATGCTGCTGTGCCCCCAGGTGGGCACACAGTGGCGTGGAACCTTGCCAGGGCCACGCAGCCAATGCTGTGCGCGTCCATGGCCCCGGACTTCTCTCGGTTGCTCTAGCCCCTGCTGACATGAGTGTCCCCCTCTGCCAGCCCTGGCACTGAGCCAGAAGGCCCGCTGTGTGGGGAGCATCAGGTGGGAGTGTGGTAGCCTCAGCGCCCACTGAAGACCCACCACCACCACCACCACCACACTGCAGAGGGAATGCTGCTGCCTCCCGCTGTGTGAGGTTTCCTCCCTGACAGAGGCCAGGGCAGGGTCAGGGTCGGGTGGGGAGGTCCTGGCAATACGCACCTCCACTTCTTCATGCAGGGCCAGTGGTCCACCACACCCTCCAAGATCACAGGCCGCCCAGGCAGCAGGAAGTGCTCCTGGAAGTGCTGCAGGGATGGGCAGTGCAGCCGGGGCACCGCACTGTCCGATGGCACCTTTGGAGCGGGTACCGGCTCACTCCTCGCTCTCTGAAATCCAAACACAGCAAGGGGGGCACAGCCTGAGAGCTAGCCAGCCTGGGGCATCTCCCCCAGGGGCATCAGCTACATGTCATTCACAATAGCAACAACAGAGGGCGCTGGCTGTTCTGTCACTGCAGCTTGCTCAGCGCGCCCCCCACTTACCCCACTCGCACCTGCTCTGCCCCCTGGTCTTCTGTCCAGTCCCCAGTTATTTTTGCTTGACCATCTGCCCGCTCCCTCGATGGGGGAAACCTGAGCGAGTCGCTCCCCGTGCCCACCTGTGTCTCCTCCCCGCTCAGAGGGCTAGGAGTCAGGACCTCTCTGGGCAAAAGCCCGGGCCTGCCCATAGGCACGCACTGGCTGGCCACATGATCAGCCATCTGCGATGGACTCGGGCCATGAGCTTCCTTCCCTGGCCACCCTGTTTGAGGCAGCACCCCTGGCTACCAGGTGAACCCCAGATGCCAGGGCACACGCTCAGCCCCAGCACAGCCGGGTCCCTCTGGTGCCCAGGAAGGCTGTGCAGCCAACGCCCTCGGCCAGGGCCCTGAGAGGCAGCAGCTCTGGAAGGTGACTCAGGCAGGCGTCCAGAGCCCGAGCTGTCAGCCCTACCCCCACCCAGAGGCTACCCGGGGCATAAGGCTGCCTGCCTCCTGCCCCCATGGACAGATGTGACCGGGGGAAGGGCCGCCCAGGGGAAGAGAACTGAAACATGTCCCCGGACCTGCACGTCTGCCCTACTCTCTGAAAGGCCAACCAATGAGGCTGGCTCAGTGGTGCAGTGCGTTTAGCCACCACCTGTCAATGCCGGCATGCCGTATCAGCATGGGCAGGGACAGCCACGCCAGGGTTACCTTGGCTCCGGGCTGCTCCTGGCCGAAGCCCTGGGCAGGCCTCTTCTTCACAGACAGAACGTGTGCTTGCAGGATGGCGGCCATTTTAACGAGGACATCACCAAAGATGGCAGCGCCCATCAGCAGGCCCATGTCGCAGGCTCGCAGTGCGGCGGTGGCTGCGGCCTCACCCGGGCCCTCGCACAGACACAGGGCTTTGAGCGCGCAGCCGAAGGCGTAGACGCGCCGCCAGGCCTTGTCCACGTCCCGCCACGGCCCGGTGTTGAGCCGCTCCCATGCGTAGTCCAGCAGCACCTCGCTGCTCTGCAGGCACTCGTCCCACCGGCCGCCGCCCAGCAGCTCGGTGGCCTGCTCCACCAGCATCCTCACACTGCAGTCCACCGCCTCGCCCAGCTCCAGCCGCAGCTCCGCCTGCGGAGGCAGCAAGGCCCGCAGGGCTTCCCGGAGGGGTCCTGATGCCACCACGGCCGGGGTCGTGGCCTCTTCAGCACAGCCAGCACCTGCTATGCAGCCACCGTCAGCTCCAGCACCATCACACACATGTCTGTGGAGGATGAAGCAACGGTTAGAGGCAGCCCACGGCCTCCCGCTGCTCTTGGGAGGACTTTTTTTTTTTTAGCAAGATTAACTTATTTTTATTTGAAAGCAGAGATAGAGAGAGAGAGAGATGCAGAGAAGGTTCTTCTATTCTCTGGCTCACTGCCTAAATGGCCACAATGGCTGAAGCCGAGGAGATCCAAAGTCAGGAGCCAGGAGCTGCTTCTGGGTCTCCCGTGTGGGTGCAGGGTCCCAAGGCTTTAAGCCATCCTGCTCTGCTTTCCCAGGCCACAAGCAGGGAGCTGGGTGGGAAGTGGAGCAGCTGGGACATGAACCAGCACGTATGGGAGAATGCCAGCACTTGCATGAGGAGGATCAGCCTACCGAGCCATCGCACCTGACCCTGCCAGGCTGGTTCCCACCTTCAGCCTCTAGCAGGTGCACAAGCGCATTAACTGCATTCCTGGCACATTTCATGGTCCAAGTGGCTCCAGGGTCCTTATCCACCAGCACACAGGACGTGGGAGCCCTTAGTGCCATCCCCTCCCCACAGGGTGGGGGGACCTGATGACTCAATCACTGTGTTTAGGGGCTTCTTAATGACGAACCTGGGAAGCACCAAAACCCCTCGAGGCCTCCTGCCTTGGTGTCTCTCAGAGGCCTGGGAGAGGCTCCCCGGAGGGCCATGTCTGCTGTCAAGGTGGCTTCCCCTGGAGCTCTGCACCTTGCACACCGGCGCAGTGACCTCCCACACTGTCTCCTGGGAGACCCATGCCGGATTTCGCGGATGGCGTCCTGGGGAGACTGTGTAAGTCGGTGGCTCGAGGGTTCCCCCGGGCTGCACCAAGTCAGCCCTTCCCACCCATCTACAGCAGCTGATTTCCTTCCAATGCAGGTTCCATCCACTGGTTCACTCCCCGAAATGGCCACAGTGGCTGGGGCTGGGCCAGGTGGAAGCCAGGAGCTTCTTCTGGGTCTCCTGGCCCAGTTCCAGCTGTTGCGGCCATTTGGGGAGTGAACCAAGCAGACGCATGAAAAAGCCTGTTGTTTATAAGTCCACCCGCAGCTCGCCATGCAGACAGGCCTCTATTTTGCTGAGTAAGCTACCAAAGTGAGTTTTTGAGGGTTGCAGGTGCGGCCTTCTAGAAGGAAACTGCAGGTGTTCCAGAATCCTCTTAGGCTGCCGAGTACCCCCTCCCCACATACACACAGAGGGGTCCTGAGCTGGCAGCTGAGCCAGGTTCTGTGAGAGCCCCACTCTACGACGCCCACAGGGTGTCAGGCGCGGTCTACACAATCTGGCCCGGTGCCCAGCCCGATGCCTCGCATCCTCGGGCCGCAGCAGCCCACGCAGAGTTCGACCCCATTCATCCTAACGCACCAGCTGAGGCCCACACGGTCACCCAACGCCCTTAGAGGGTGCTACGCATGCGCGAAGCCTTCCAGTCGTTTGCCACACGAAGAGCAGCTACACTATGTGTTCGGCGCATGCGCAGGCTCTGACGCCTCCGGGAATGCGCCGGATCATTTTTATTTTCCCCACGTTTTGCTCCCTCACCCAATTCCTCCCTGCCCAGCTCTCCGCCGACCGCGCTCTCGAGTTTCTCAGCCTGACCTCTTGTGCTGGGTCGGCGTTCCCTCCGCCCCGGGGCTGCCGACGGCCTGTTCCATCCGGGTCCGCGCTCTCCGGCCCTCCGCTCCGGGTCGTCAGGCTAGCATGAAGATTTCCGAGCCCTCGGCTCCTCGGATCCCGCCAGAGCACCTGGAGGAGCGCCGAGTGCTCGATGCCGCGGCCCCGCCCCCTGAGGGGACCCGGCTGGAGCGGGACACGCCCTTCGGTGTCACAGGCTTTTCCTTCCGGGCGGTAACATGGGATGTGGCGCATCCACCATTTAAATTCCCCACAACCGAGAGGATTGCTTCTCCCTCGGAGAGGCAAACTGAGGCCGAGTGACGGAAAAGTGAGCATCCACCATAGTGTACTAGGTTAAGCCTCTACCCGCAGTGAAGACATCCCACTTGACGCCGGTTTGAGGCCCGGCTGCTCCACTTCTCATCCAGCTCCCTGCCAGTGCACCACAGAGGCCTGTATCAGGGAGCGTGGTTGGAGTCCCGGCTCCATCAGCTAGGGTACCAGGGAAGGCAGTGCCTGATGGTCCATGTCCCTGGACCTCTGCCTGATGTGTGGGAGACCAGGATGAAGCTCCTGGCTCCTGGCTTCAGCCTAGCCCAGCTCTGACTTGAAGGGGAATGAATTAGCACATGGAAGATTACTCTGTATCCCCGAGCTGTCCAGGTATGTGTTAAGGGGGAGCAGGGGACATGTTTAAAGAAACTTTGCGCGGGAACCAAACTTCTCAGCTTCTCTCCTGCCTGCAGACCCCAGGACGTGAGGCCACCTTCAGCCTGAGCCAGCACAGAGCACCTGCAGGGATGCAGGCTGGCCTTGAGCAAGCAGTCCTCCAGCCTACTGTCCTGCCAGGCAACCCCGTCATCCCCTGTGCCGACTCTTTCTAGTCTTGCTTTCTGCTTCCTGTGAAAGCAAAGTGTGCAAGCTCCTCCCCCCTCTCCTGCCGTGGGCCACCCAGAGGCTGGGATAAGTCTACCCAGAGAGAGTCGAACCCAGCACCCTCATTCCCCACCCGCACCCAGTCTCGGGGGAGTTGGCAGGACCGGTTGGCTAGGGCACTGCCAGGGGGTACTCACAGCAGCCTGTTCATGCTTTGAGAACCCATGTGTTGACAGGAATGAAGGGTAAGGGCAAAATGTTTTCTTGAGAGAGCTACAATGTTTCCGAGGGTCTGCACTTTCAGTAACCTCATTGTCAGCCCCCCAGCAGGCCGCTTGGGCCCCCTCCGGGCTTGCCCATTGTCCTGGCCATTAAGTTGACAGATCTGTTGAGGTGAAGGTGGCCTGGTTACCCACGTGGGTGATTTGTCTCTCTGTTTGGACCACAAGCCTGTAATTTTAAGCCGTGCAAGTGTCAGAGGGAGCACGGGTGGCTTAATTATCAAATTGATTTTAAAAGACATGCAAGCAAATGCAACTGTGAAATTGAAAACAACATTCAGTGCTTGGCCATTCCACACACTCTCCGGGCTTAGAGATGGAAGGGAAACCAAGAGCCCTACACTCCCCTGTTCCTCCTCCCACCCCCATCAGAGCCTTCCATCACCTGGTTAGGACCAGCGTAGCCTGCCCCAACCTCACCTCCTTGGTGGGCTCAGGCAAGGCGGGCCAGGGTGGTGTGTTAGTTGGTGACTGCTTATTTGTTTATTTTCTGTCAGGCTGAAGGCCGTAGGGAACCTTTATGGATGCTCAGAGAAATAGCTGAGGTTGACAACTTTAGCATGAGTGACTCCATTTTGAATTGTAGCCTGTTCCTGTTGGGACCTTGGGCAGGAACTTTGGCCCAAACGAGGGCCTTTTGCTATTTTTATGTCACAGGCACCACCGTCACAGTAACAGGTACAGATCACAGAGGGGTGGGTGTTATGGCACAGTGCCTCTTGGGACCCATCCCTACATCCGAGTGTCACATCCGAGTGTCCAGGTCGAGTCCCAGGTCCTCTGCTTTCTATTCATGCATTCTGGAGGTAGGAAGCGATGACTCAAGTGGGTGCCCTGGCACCCACGTGGGAGACCCAGACGGAGTTCGTGGCTCCTGGGAGTAAACCAGTGGATGGAACAGCTCTCTCTCTCTCTCTCTCTCTCTCTCTCTCTCTCTCTCTCTCTCTCATGCTCTGCCTTTCAAATAAACAAACATGTTTTCACGAATGAGGGAGAAGGTGCAGTTTTAACAGTCCACAAAGCCTTTGAGGAGTCTCCCATTCACAGGTGGCTCTGTGGCCTGTCCGCTGGACCAGGCTGCCTCGGCCCCCTTCTCCTAGGACAGGCTGGGGGTGGGGGCTCCTGCTGCCAGGCCACAGCAGGTGGCGCCGTGTCTGCCTGGGCCTCTGGAGCACTAAGTAACTGTAGAAGTCTGACCGCCCCCCCCTCCCCGAGTTGACTTTGTGTCTCCCAGGACAGGTGCCTTTAGAACCTTCCAGCATCTTCCAGCTGAGCCCCTAAGGCATCACAGAGTGGTCACAGGCTGTGTCTGCTGGGCCATCACCATTAAATAGCCCAGTGACAAGGGGTAGAGCAGCCCCCCACCCCCCAGCTCCCCATGTCAGGGGAATTTGTTCTAAGACCCCTGTGGATGCCTGAAGCCATGGACCAGGCAAGCCTCTCACAACCGGGCTTTTTCCTAGTACACACATACTGGGGAGAGTCAGAAATGACTTGTACGAAACAGAAAGGGCACAGCAGACGGTGATAACAGGTGTCCGTGGTTTCTCTCTCTGTCAAAACATCTACGGCCGTGTCCCGGCTGCGGTACGGGCTGTGGTTGACCGCGGGTAACTGGAAAACGAAACCTCAGAAGAAGGAAGATGCTCTCATTCCGAGACCTTGCAGGGGGCGGGGACCGTTCTGGCCCCGGAAGCTGCCCGTGTGCAGGGGCCAAGGTCGGAGGGAGGGAGGTTGACGGTGTGACTCAGTCAAATTTCCCCCAGCTCTGGGTGCTCCCACCGGTGAGGGTGACTGGTTCTCCTTGTCTGATTGGTTATTCCAGCAGGAATGCCAGCCACGTTTGCACAGCGGGATGGGTAACAATGTAGCTTTGTCCCAATCGCCACCTCGTTATTGAGATGGGGACATTATCCGCAAGATGCATCCCAATGTCAGATGTGAAAAGCAGAAGTGGGATGAGGAATACCTTTGGGGATTGGCAGAAAGAGGCAAGCATTGATGAAAGGGTTTGGGAGCCGGGGACACGGGATGGGGTTGGAGCGGGACCCGCTCGGCAGACAACCACACAAGTCTGGCTGTCTCTGGACCCCTGCACCCCCAAGACCTCGCCTAAAAGCCTGGGCAGGCCCTGGGTGCTGGCACCCCTGCTGCCTTGCCTTCGTCTCTGGGTCTGTGTCCAGACAGGAGCAGCAGCACAAGGTGGCTGCCTGAAGAGCAGCAGCCCCAGCCTTTGCTCCTGTTGCGTGTCCGGTGCTTCTGCCAAAGTGTTACAGTCTGGCTGCCTCGTGGGTCTGGTGTTGGCGGCCATAGGAGTTTCTGGGGTTGTGTGTGTGTGTGTGTGTACCTTGGCCTGCTCACGAGGCTCTGCAGAGCAAAGAGTGGAATGCAATGTTCCGTCCTGTGTCCACTGGGAGACGCCATCACCCTTGGGAGGGAGCAGTGTCTTAGCTGCTGTTCCAGGACTTTTAACTGCAATTCCCAGGAGGTGTTTCTGGGGAAAGAAGGTGGCTTATTTTGGCTTTCGGTTTGGGAGGTTCACAGATCCAAGATCTGGCATCTGCCTTGGCTGGGCTAGAGGAGCGTGGTGGGACCCTCACACGGCGAGCTGGGAAGCAGAGGGGCAGAGAGCGCACTCCGCCTGTATAGCCCGCCCTCCAGGGATGACTGCCTTCCCAGCAAGCTCTGTGACCCCCTCGGCCCACAATTAGATGTGTTGGGTCCAGAATTTATCCCATCGCCTTGAACAGAGGAATTCCACATGAGATAATGGAAAAGCCAAGGAACTTTATTGCTAGTGCGCTCAGGCCCAAATCTCATCCAATGCAGTGGAATCTTGACAAGGACCCCGACCATGCATTTCATGCACTGCATATACGGTCTTGCCTGCAATTCCAGGAAGGGGCCACTGATTCTACGAGAGGTATTGGCAAGATTGTAATTGGTCAGCTTTTATTGCCCGAGACCACTCTGGTGGTCAGTCTCTCTTATCCGTGGCCACCCCAGTGGTCAGCCTCGATCGCCATGACCACCTGATGACTAGGGACCTTCCAAGTCTCTTCTGATTGGTTGACTCTGTCTAGGGTGTGTGGCGGCCCACTTTGGGGAAGCAGGTGCCTCAATTCTAGGGACTGAAACTTAAGCCTAGCCTGTCCGAGGCCTGCCCGAGGCCTGTCGTGGCTTTATCTTGGTTCCCCTTTGCAGCAAACGAAGCACTTAGTACAAAGGCCAGACTTAGCAGTTAGCTTAGCAATTAATTAATCAGCATCATTCTAATATCATTTATCCTATATTTTAATTACCGTTACTCATCCAACTCTCTACTAGTTACTATCTCTTAACCTTAATCTCTATAATCACCTAATATTATCTCTTAACACATACGTATCTTTGCCATTCACTTTATTTTCTTTATTGCTAGACATTCATTTATTATCGAACTGTTTCTTAATACTGCTCCCTATTTCTATTTCTTATTCTTTTTTTAAGATTTATTTATTTTTATTGGAAGGTCAGATATACAGAGAGGAGGAGAGACAGAGAGGAAGATCCTCTGTCCGCTGAGTCACTCCCCAAGTGACTGCAACAGCTGGAGCTGAGCTGAGCCGAAGCCAGGAACCAGGAGCTTCCTCCAGGTCTCCCACGCGGGTGCAGGGTCCCAAGGCTTTGGACCATCCTCAACTGCTTTCCCAGGCCACAAGCAGGGAGCTGGATGGGAAGTGGAGCTGCTGGGATTAGAACCGCCCCCATATGGGATCCTGGTGTGTTCAAGGCGAGGACTTTAGCAGCTAGGCCACGTTGCCAGGCCCAGGGGTGGGGGATGATTTCAAAGCAAAGCAAGCCACTCTCTGCCCATCTTGGTGAGTAATCCAGGAGCTCACAGGGCCTGGGGTGGAGGGCATTGCCACCAGGCCATACTGCGTATACAAGGTTTGTGGTGTTCCACTTTTTAAAAGCCTTGGGATTCTGCACCTGCGTGGAAGACCTGGA